GCCAAAACAACCAATTTTCTAAATAAATCTCTGTAATCTTTAAAAAAAAAAAAAAAAAAGGAAGAAACATTTGAGGACTTCAGAAGAATGACCCAAAAGACACAAAGAAGAAAATATATAAAGAGAGACACAGAGACCCAAGGAAAAAGATGTAGAGAAAAAATGAAAGAGATCAGCACATCTGGGAGACAATGAAATAGATATAAATACAAATGCAGATAAGGGGATGGGAGTTGCAGACAACTTTTCTTATAGTAACATCCACCCTTTAAAAACAACATCATGAAGCTTATGCTGCATTTCTCTAACCTTGGTCACATTTGGACATAAGTTCTTCTACATTTATAAGCTAAATAAACTTCTATGTAAGAGGTTCTAATAAATTAGTACAAAGGATTAAGAATTACAAAATATAGAATGAACACAGAAAGAAATACATACATTAGCAATGCATGCCTCAATAGTCTGGACTGTTCTTTTCAATAGCACTTTTGCAAGGTCAAAGGACTGTTTATTTAAGTTCTGAAAAATAATAAAAACATGGAAAGTTACAAATGAATTTGTTAATTTATGAGATAGCAACACTAGAATACTGTAGTCTTCAAATCTGTAATAAAATACGAATTTTTCTTCACTAAAATACGAAGCAAAAATAAAAATAACTGAATTCTCTTCAAGGTTTTGCAAATATCCTCTAGTCAAGTGGTCTTAAATGCAGACGTCGCAAATCAAACTCATTTATTAATCAAAAACTAAAATGGATTAGTTAGCAAAAGCACAACCCTATATTAAGTTTTACTAAACTCAAAATAGACCTAATGCTTTTTGGTTTTTATGTGTTAACCAATGTAAACTGACAACTACACCCATGTATCTTAAACACATACACTTCCCAATCTAACACAACATGCTCAATTATTTCATTGTTTAATCAATGCTTGCTCTGGAGAAGAGTAGACCTGGTAAGTGTTTCAAATAAACAGAGTTACTGATCAATTATATTTTTGAAATGCTGAATAATATGCTTCCGCTTAAAGAGTCCCAATGTACTCAAATAAATTAAAGGATCTGAGAAGGACCTTAGAAAATATATATTTAATTTTTTTAAAATGCCTGAAAAGGGAATTCTTGTTTTGAATAACACCGAGTAACACCGCTATATCTTGAAGTTCTGGACCAAACAGATTCATTCACCACCATCTCACACCTCTTCCAAAATGAGGCTAGGAAACCCTACACTCTAGGCCAGGGGTCGGCAAACTTTTTCTATGAAGGGCCACATGGTAAATATTTTAGGTTTTGTGGGTCATACAAATCACTGCTACAACTACACAACTCTGCTGTTGTAGCATGAAAGCAGATATAAATAAAACGAAAATGAATGAACATGGCTGTGTTCCAATAAAATCTTACTTACACAAATAAGCAATGGTCCAAATTTGACTAACAAGCCATAGCTTCTTGACCCCTGCTCTACACTTTTATTTCACTGGCAAAGGACAAAATTTGCTTAAAATTAAGTTAACATTTCTATTTATTAAAAGAAGTCTATTTCCTACTACTAATAAAAATTCTCTCAAGCCCAGTGTGGTTGCTCATGCCTGTTATCTCAGCACTTTGGGAGGCTAAGGCGGGAGATCGCTTGAGCCCAGGAGTTTGAGATAAGCCTGGGAAACATTGCGAAATCCCGTTTCTACAAAGAAAACTTAAAAAAAAAAAGTCAGGTATGGTGGCACATGCCTGTACTGCCAGCTACTTGGGAGGCTGAGGTAGGAGGATCACTTGAGCACAAGAGACAGAGGCTGCAATGAGGCAAGATTGTGCCGCTGCACTCCAGCCTAGGTGACAGAGTGAGACCCCTTCCCAAAAACATACCACCAACCTACTTACTTAGCATATAAAAACCAAATATACTGTCTTAATCTGCCAAAATATACTCTCCTCTGCCACAGTCTCAGAATTTTATAAACTACATTTGAATAAAATGTAAATAATATTTAGACTCAATAATTTAAAATTAATTATATCTTTCTGTGAATGAGTACATATTTTTCCTCTAATGTCTGATAACAGGTTATTGAACCATTAGAAGAAAAGAGCAGGAGGGCAAATATCAACACTGGGGTAGGCTTGAGTAGAGCCCAGTGGTGGAGCCTGAGGGCAGCCAAGTCCTTCAGATTCTTAGGAGGATCTGGTAGAGATAAATAGAAAAAGGAAATGGGGAAGAATGATACACCTCTGAATCATCCTTTTCTTCTTAACATTAACCATACAGCTTCTGCCCAAATCTTTTTCTGAGAGTACCTAAGAAAAAGGTACGATACGGATTCTGAAAAGAAATCCAAACTCCTATGTGTCACATCTATGTTAATAAGGAGGAAATACATTTCTTTTCCAAACACAATTAACCAAAAAGACAACACCCCTAACCCCTTACAATTCTCAGATTATTTGTGTGAATACGAAACATTTTCAGTTCCGTATTCAATTTCTTGAATGAAACTCTTACATGATATGTTAATCAATATATTTTGTAAAAATAATAGCCACAAGACTAACATATGTTAACCTATTTTATTTGAGGTAGAGAATGGTCATGGGAACAATTACATGGGATTGCAAATGGCCTGAAAACAATTGTTCATTCTTATGTGTAGCATGACTGTTAAATATTAACCTTTAATATCTTCATACTTTACAGACCTTATGTGCAGGAATGAGGTTAATAAGAATGGAGTCCAATAACTCTTGAGTAACTCCATCACCTTCCATGATGATAGAACTCATCAAATCTAGCATGTGCATTTGTACCTTCTTATTGTGGCTATTGCTATAAAAAAAAAAAAAAAGAATAAGTAGGAGGAAGAGGAAAAGAATAAGAGAATTCAAGCTTCCAATAGGAAATTAAACTTCCTAGTTTAAAACAACAATCTCACATGTAAAGGATTTTCACTTGAGGGACAGTGCCAATAACGGCAGAGAAATTTGGGGGGCTCTATTTTCTTTCTCCTTTTGTTGACTGTTACAACAGCTGTAAGGTATTGTTGTATTTTATAAAAACAAACACAAACCTAATTTCTAATAAACTATGTTTTCCTCAATTCACATTTTTTTAAAAAAGAAAAAGGCCAGGCACAGTGGCTCGCGCCTGTAATCCCAGCACTTTGGGAGGCCGAGGCGAGTGCATCACCTGACATCAGGAGTTTGAGACCAGCCTGGCCAACATGGTGAAATCTCATCTTTACAAAAATACAAAAATTAGTGGGGCGTGGTGGCGGGCGCCTGGAATTCCAGCTACTGGGGAGGCTAAGGTGGAAGAATCACTTGAAACTGGGAGGCAGAGTTTGCAGTGAGCAGAGATCATGCCACTGCACTCCAGCCTGGGCGACAGAGTGAGACTCCGTATCAAAAAAAAAAAAAGAAAAGAAAGAAAAGAAAAGGAAAAGGAAAAAAAAGACCTTTAAAATAAATTAAGTCTCTATACAACTAGGATTCCAAGAGTAAATTAAATTCTGCCTAATAAAAATGTCAATTTTAGCCTGGGCAATGTGGCGAAACCCTGTCTCTACAAAAAAATTAAAAATTGGCCAGGCGTGGTGGTGTGTCCCTATAGCCCCAGCTACTCAGAAGGCTGATATGGGAGGATCACTTCAGCCCAGGAGGTCGAGACATCAGCAAGCCATGATCATGCCACTGCACTCCAGCCTGGGTGACAGACCAAGACCCTGTCTCAAAACACACACACACACACACACACACACACACACACACACACGTCCACTTCAAAGAAAGGACACTTCTGCTTACATGCCCCAGATTTTTAAAGGTGATAAAATTTTAAGGAAACAAACAAAAAGTATGATAATAAAGGCAGCCATTTTTTTCAACTCCCACACCTTAGGTCTTAATCAATTTCTCAAATTAAGATAAAAACCTATTTAAATACCCCCAAATGCATAAGCCAACATAAGCAATTATTGATGTATCCTTGCCACTAGAAGTTTTAATTCACCAATACTGAAAATCAAAAGTTTCATCTAAAATGCTTTGAATACCTAGAAGGTTTTTCTGAAAATGTCATCCTAGTATCTCTCAAAGAATTTCAGACAGACAAACAAAAAATCAATAAAGTATAAACTATAAGGCCAAGAATCAGTTTCAAGTGCTTCCACAGTGAGGCCTGCCCTTTCTTGCTACTTTTGAACCTAGTCAGCATATGAAGAGGCCTCGGCTGACCTCCTGAATGGGTGAGACATGTGACCCAGTTCTATCACTTCAGCCCACCTCAGCCAACAGCCAGGTATCGGCCAGATATCCTGCCAACTGACTACAAACACAGGTGCAAATCCAACCCAAATAAAATCAACTGCCAAGCAGAATCACGAGCTAAATAAAATGGTGGCTGTCTTAAACCATCAAGTTTTAGGTTACTTTGTAATGCAGCAAAAGCTAACAAACACAAAGGTAAGGTTTATATGTTCTATCATTTACTTTAAAGGCTTACTGCTAGTCAAATGCCACAGGAAGTTTTTTCTCATGCTGTCTTTCTACAAGCTTCTATCCTATGCCAAGCTGGAGTGATCCTTTCCTGTTTGTTTCAGGATCATGTCTAATCCTACCATTCCATCTAAGGAAAAAGAAAATACAATACAGTATTCATAAAAATCTCCAGAAAACTCTGGAAATGTGCTGTTCAATATGCAAGCCATTTGCCACATATGGCTGGTGAACATGTGAAACATGACGAGGGCCACATGTTGGAATGAAAATACTTTTGGATACAGTGGAATATATAAAATATATTATCAAAATGAATTTCACTTGTTTTTATTTTCTATTAATGTGACTACTAGAAAACTTATGTGAGATATGTTTATATATAATGTAATGCTCTAGAACACATCTCATAGCAGTACTTGATTTACTATACAAAAAACAAACCAGGCTGGGCATAGGAGCTCACACCTGTAAACCCAGCACTTTGGGAGGCTGAGGTGGGTGGATCACTTGAGGTCAAAAGTTTGAGACCAGCCTGGCCAACAGGGTGAAACTCTGTCTCTACTAAAAATACAAAAATTAGCCGGGTGTGGTGGCACACACCTGTAGTCCCAGCTACTCAGGAGGCTGAGGCAGGAGGATTGCTTGAACCCGGGAGGTGGAAGTTGCAGTGAGCCAAGATGGAACCACTGCACTCCAGCATGGGTGACACAGAGCAAAACACTGTCTCAAAAAAACAAAACAAAACAACCCACACAGAAGAAAACAACAACAACAACAACAACAAAAAACCCACACACACAAAAAACAAACCAAACAAAAACAAAAAAACTCACAAACCAAAAAACATGGGCTAAAATCAGAATTTGAGCCTCGTGTTCAGCAACTGGTCCTTGGGCAAGCCACTACACTTCCTGGCTCTGGATTAGTTTCCCTACTTCTATAAAGAGAAGGCCAATTTAGGCAATGTTTAAGACTTTTTTTCTAGGTCTAGAATATGAAGTTGTCAAAGTTAGTGAGCTTAAAGACTGAGCTATTATGTCTCCCAGCACTAATGGTACATACAATATGCATAATTTCTACCTCATAACTTAATACTTCATTGTATTAATGTAAGGTTTCAGAGGATTTGCTTTACAACCATATGTGGTTGCCTCTATTAGATACTAAGTTCCTTCAAAACAAGAGCACCACTTTATACTTCTCTACTGGTCCACAGCCTCCAGGACAGACTGGGGCACTGAAGGGCCAACCAGTAAACTGATAGCATAATTTAAAATGGTAGTAGGTGGTCAAAGGCAGTGTTCGGACAACAGAATTTTTACTTTCCCCTTCATGTTAAGTTTTCTAAGGAAAACAATTCCTTATAACTCTGAAATATCTTAGTGTAGATGTAGAGTATACAACATCTGAATATATAAATCAAGAAAAAGAGACAGGCAGAAATGCTTGAAAAATAACTTACTTGATCACTGAGAAGAGAGTCCTAAAAAGCTGAATAAAAATTTCATTGCAATCTTCCAATTCAAAGCAGATGTTATATGATTTAACCCAAGCTAAATTCTTAAATAAATAAAAATAATTATTGAATTATACATATGTAAACAGAATAGTTATATAATAAAAATTCAGTAAAAATTTTTAGTTAGAAACATATTAAAGTCTATAAAGACTCAACATATAAAATTTTAAGTGTTAATCACATATTCTGACTTGAAAAAGATATATACCTGATGGCATCAATTTTCTCAAACTGAAAAATACTCAATATTTTTAAGTTGGTAGATATATTTACACACAAAATTTAAGAAGCAGTTAAAAAATCTGTTTCTAGAATAGAAAATAATAAAAATAGAAAGATACAAACAAAAGGCATAGCTTCAAATAATCTACAGTTTTTCCATCAGAATATACTTTATCTCTTCAGGATAGGAAGAAACATAAAATAATATTTTCCTTATGAAATGTAAAAGACATTATAGGCTTTGAACAAAACAAAAAGACTCATTTTACATTACAAAGTTAACATGAAGAATTTTCTATCATGTGAAATAATATAACAGTTATTAAAGTTTTTGGTTTTTTTACCTCTAATAAATAAAAGTATCTATTAAACTGTGGACTCTTCGTATCCTCCAAACCTTTTAACTGTCTGGTAATAAACAAAAATATGTCCTGTTAAAAAAAATAAAACATATTAGACACAAATACTTTTCTTTCACAACACACTAATAGTATGTAAATTTATTATTTGTGTACAAACTACAATAAAAGAAAACTCTCCTTTAGATGAATGTCTTGGGATTGGCCTAGTCTATTATTCAAAATGATTCAAAAGATCCAATCAAATAAAATTATACTCTCTAGAAGCAAAAATACACCACAAATCTTTAGGCTTTCTCTTTCAGAGAGGACCACGGGCTCTGTATCTCATTATATTTTCTTCTACTATCGTGCTTTCACTTTACTATCTCCACCTTGCATAGTGGCAAAAACTATCTTCATTTTAAGGAGTTGGATATGAGTATTTCCATTACTATTTCCTGCAAGTAAACAGTAATTTTTAGCCAATGTTTTAAAGTTGATGTATGACTACGAAGTTGAGTGCGTAAAAAGGCAAAAGACTAGTCCAATGGTACTGTTTCATGATAGTCTTTCTTAATAAGCTTTCTTTAGAAGTTTTAACTCACAGTAGTATCAATATAATACAAAATAATTTTAGGACTATTTTTAAAGAAAGCAGCCTACAGGATTAAAATTTGCCAAGAATAAAATTATTCAAAATACAAAATCTCCTCAAGAGATCAATATGAATTCCACAAACACTTGAACAAAGGCAGAATGACCAAGATGAGCTATAGTTCTGCATGCTGAATAACTTATAGGGGAAAACAGTCATATGAATATGTAAATTCTGGTATGCTATTATTTTTAAAAAGTATCATTAATCTGCTATTTATCCCTGGAACATAGCCATCTGGGCTTTTGTGATGTATTAACCCGAAAATTGGATTTGAGCACACAGGGACTAGTTCTGAACTACACCTTTCTATGCTTCAAATCAAACAACCAACTAACCCAGTTATTTGTGGAAATACTAACTGAATGAATAATTTTGCAACTTATGATATATTCTTAAGATGAAGAGACTAATATGAAACCTATGTTCATAAAGGTAAAATATAAAAATAAAAGTATACCTTCTGAACAGCGGTGAATGAAAAATATAATAAAATGAAAAAGACTGTATTTACCTTAAGTTTATCATGGGAAGTATATGGAGCTTCCGGGGCATAGATACGAAAGATATCAGCCAAACAACATGCTACAAGGAGACGCACATCTTTATTGGGGTTCCTGAGGAAGAATTCAGATGCAAGATGCAAGGCTAGTGGGAGATACTGCTGTTTTTCATCTTCTGAGTCCTGATCCATATCCATAAAAGTTTTCACTACCATCTGTAAAAATGTACAAAAACACAAAATAATCAACTCCTGGCATTTAGAAATCAGTGGAGGATGTAATTTTTTTTTTAAAAAGTCATTTCCATTAGCAATCAGTGGCCACCAGACAATTCAGTCAACTTTTTATAAATCTTCATTTAAGAATTTCAGAAAAGATCACAAGCATGAAACAGCTAGTCTAAAAAACCCATAAACAAATACCAACTTCTTAGACACATTATCTGAACTAGCACCTCATTTATGAAGAACTTAAGCCTCTTATTACTCATTTTAAATCTAGCCCAGGTAGTCCCTGGCCCCATGTGGACAATAATATTCATTTGATATTTGGCAACATCATTGACTATGTTTCTTTTATATTTTATGATTAAAGGTGCATTGTTTAGGCTCCTTAAAATTGCTATTTCATTGCATGCTTTAATGACTTTTACATTTCACAATAAAAAGTCATTTTCCAGGCTGGACAACATGGCAAGACTCTGTCTCTACAAAAAATACAAAAATTAGCTGGGTATGGTAGCATGTGTCTGTAGTCCCAGCTGCATGGGAGGCTGAGATGGGAGAATCCCTTGAGCTCAGGAGGCGAAGATTGCAGTGCCCCAAGATCATACCACTGCACTCCAGACCAGGTGACAGAGACACTGTCTTTAAAAAAAAAAAAAAAAAGGCATTTTAGAATAATTTTAATGCAGTTGTATTTCTAATTAAAATATTTAAGTATAATTAACCTGTTGTTATTTATGGTTATAAATTTAACCAACACACACCTTGGAATCATTATAAAATGCAAAGAATCATGAAAAAAATAATAAAAGAAAAATCCATAATTTATCAACTCCAGAAACTACTATTCACATTTTTGTGTACTTTATGCTGGCCTGTTTTCTCTGTAATTATGCAAATAACCATAATTCTTTATGTACCAAATCACAATAATTTCCCCAGACCTTAAAAATTATTCTCTAATTATAAATCATAGTTTACTTAATCTGTGCGTCTTAAACTGAGTGTCAACTTGATTGGATTGAAGGATACAAAGTACTAATCCTGGGTGTTCCTGTGTGAGTGTTGCCAAAAGAGATTACATTTGAGTCAGCGGGCTGGGGAAGGCAGGTCCACCTTAAGCTGGTGAGCACAATCTAATCAGCTTCCAGTAAATATAAAGTAGGCAGAAAAACGTGAAAAGGGAAAGCGGGACTAGCCTCCCAGCCTACATATTTCTCCCGTGCTGGATGCTTCCTGCCCTCAAACATCAGACTCCAAGTTCTTCCGTTTTGGGACTTGGACTGGCTCTCCTTGCTCCTCAGTTTGCAGACAACCTATCGTGGGGCCTTGTGAATTAACACTTAATAAACTTGGTCATAACACTTTATGTATTATATTTTATTTGCTATTACATTATTTCTATTTATTTGTAATTATATGAAAGAAACTGGCTTATAACTTCTAAAGACAACCGTATCAGGTTTTAGTACTAAATTATACTGGCTTGAAACAAAATAAGCAGTAATCTCTCTTTTTTTCTATTGCAGTATATCAAAAGTGTGCTAGTAAGGCTGGTTTTATTTCTTCCTTAAATAGTTAGGAAAGTATGACTGATAAAAGAAGGAATCATAATGGAAATAAGAAAATATTTTGAACTGAATTATAATGTAAATATGAACTACCAAAACTCATAAGATGCACTTACCACTGTACTTAAAGAAAATTTATAATCTTAAATGTGTATTTTACAAAAGAAAGAATGAAAAATCCATCATCTATATTTCCATCTGGAGAAATTAGATAAATCCAAATAAACTAGAACCAGGGTTTGTGAAGCAAAAGATAGAGAAGGGCTGGGTGTGGTGGCTCACACCTGTAATCCTAGCACTTTGGAAGGCCAAGTCAGGAGGACTGCTTGAGCTCAGGAGTTCAAGACAAAGGTCTGGCTCTGCCGCCCGGGCTGGTCAGTAGCACAATCTCAGCTCACTGCAAACTCTACCTCCCAGGTTCAAGAGATCCTTCCACCTCAGCCCCCTCAGCTGCTGGTACTACAGGCACACACCACCGCACCTGGCTAAGTTTTGTACTTCTTTTGTGTGTTTGTAGAGATGGGATTTTGCCATATGTTGCCCAGGCTAAAAAATATTTTTAAATTATTGCTATCTAATAAACTATCCCAAAACTCAGTGCCTTAAAACAATAACATTTATCATATGTAGTTGAAGAATTGGAAAGTGGCTTAGCTAAGTTGTGTGGGCCTGGAATCTCTCAAGAGGCTGTACCTGGTCAAGGCTGCAGTTATCTGAAGGCTTGACTGGGCATGGAGGGTGTGTTTTGAAGGTAACTCATTCTTACGGTTCTAAGTTGACACTGGCTATTGTTGAAAGGCCTCAGTTCCTCACTACATGGGCCTTTCTTGACAGCTCGAGTGAAAAGGCAGTTAGTTGGTTTTCCCCTGGTGCGAGATCCAAGAGAGCAAATCTGAAGTGGCAGTCTTTTATGATCTAACCTTGAAAAGCATACATTGTCACTTCTACCACAGCCTGTTGGTTACTCAGGTCAGCCCTGTTCAGTGTTGTACGGAGTAAATACAAGGAAATAAGGATCATTCAGGGCTATCTTGGAGCTATATGATACAATGCCTTCTCATATATATACCTTGTATAGTCTTCTCTCACAATGACTCTGGATTTGGCCATGTGACTTTTTTTTTTTTTTAAAGAAAGAGTCTTGCTCTGTCGCCCAGGCTAAACTGCAGTGGCATGATCTTGGTTCACTGCAATCTCTGCCTCCCAGGTTCAAGAGATTCTCTTGCCTCAGCCTCCTGAGTAGCTGGGAACTACAGGTACTCACCACCACGTCTGGCTAATTTTTGCGTTTTTAGTAGAGACAGGATTTCACCACGTTGGCCAGGCTGGTCGTCAACCTCCCGACCTCAGGTGATCCACCTGCCTCAGCCTTCCCAAATGCTGGAATTACAGGCATGAGCCTCTGTGCCCAGTCCAGGTGACTTATTTTGACCAAAGAGACATTAGTCAGCCTGATGCAAGAACAGGCCTGATAAGCATTTGTACATTGAGACTGCAATGCCCCTATGGGAATGTACCCACCATGCTATTAGGAATCCCAGACTATTCAAAAAACAAGAGGCTGTGTATATCACATAGACTACGTGGAAGAGAACTAAGGTGACCTAATTGAGTTGTCATCTAAATTTAGCCACAAGAGTGGCCCTGTAGAAGCAAAGTGAGATTCATAAATACACACAATGAAGGGGAGAAAACCTGTGGTGGCTGTGAAGGTCCTGATGCCATGTATGTCAAACTGGTATCTTCCGATGGTCATGAATTTATTATAAAAAGAGAACATGCAGTGCTAAGCGCGGTGAGTCACACCTGTAATCCCAGCACTTTGGGAGGCTGAGGCAGGTGGATCATGAGGTCAGGAGTTCGAGACCAGCCTGGCCAATATGGTGAAACCCCCTCTCTACTAAAAATAAAAAAATTAGCCAGGCCTGGTGGTGCGCGCCTGTAATCCTAGCTACTCAGGAGGCTGGGGCAGGAGAATTGCTTGAACCCAGGAGGCGGAGGTTGTAGTAAGCTGAGATCACGCCACTGCACTCCAGCCTGGGCTACAAGAGCAAGACTCCAATTCAAAAAAAAAAAAAAGAGAGAGAGAGAGAGAGAGAGAACATGCACTAACATGAGGAACAATCAAAAGCCATGTTGAAGCCGAGCACAGTGGCTCATGCCTATAATCCCAGCACTTTGGCAGGCTGAGGTGGGTGGATCACATGAGGTCAGGAGTTCGAGACCATCTTGACCAACATGGTGAAACCCTGTCTCAACCAAAAATACAAAAATTAGCCAGGTATGGTGGTGGGTGCCTGTAGTCCCAGCTACTCGGGATGATGAGGCAAGAGTATCGCTTGAATCTGGCAGGCAGAGATTGCAATAAGCCACGATCGTGCCATTGCACTCCAGCCTGGGTGACAAAAGCAAAACTCTGTCTCAAAATCAAAACCAAAACATGTTGAGTGACCCAGATCAGTTTGCTGAGAATGAAATCATTGAGGGCAATTTCAGAGAGATCTGTTCCTGTGTGCTATCAAAAGTATGTATGTATTATCAAGAATGGTGGCTTGCACTTATAATCTCAGCTACTTGGGAGGCTGACACAAGATGACTGCTTGAGCCCAGAAGTTCTAGGGTGCAGTGAGCTAGGATCATGCCAATGCATTCCAGCCTGGTGACAGAACAAAACGCTATCTCTAGAAAAGTAAGAGTTAAAGTATACATATAACGCTATCTCTAGAAAAGTAAGAGTTAAAGTATACATATATTTTACCTACAAGGTTCGCTACACTAACAGTTCCACTCAGATTTCTGAATTCCCAATTGCACTTGATATTGCACTGGAACAGCTGATGGAGACTTCCCAGATTGTTATTAAATTAAAATAAACTGTTAAAAAAAAAAAAAAAGTGAGCCCGGCAGGCACCACATGGAAAAGAAGGACCACAAAGTCTATTGAATAATTGTTTCTTACAATTCTGTGAACAGACTTTGTGGTCCCTTTTAAGCCACTAGATTTTGCTTTACCACACAGGAACACAAATGAAATTCCATTCATTCTTCCCTTTTTTTAAATATGTCGTTCTGTGCACATTTTTAATGTGCTGTACTGAGGCTAAAAACTACATTTCCTAGATTCCCTTGCAATGGAGTTGAAGTCGTAATTCTGGTATAGCCCATCAGAGGCACTTATTCAAGATTTGGAAGGTGAAAGTTCAGAAGAGGTGGTGGTGTAGTTTCTGCTGTTGTCATATGGCAAGTATGGCGTGAGGTGGTGTGTGTGTGTGTGTGTGTGGGCATGCACATACACAGCAGCTTTCTACTGACTGGGTGTTAGTACTGTGAAGACAGAGGGAAGAATCACCCATTTTGTGCTGGTACGAATCTATTAAACTGCGTGAGGCTCTGTAGCAAATTATACCAATGGTGACTTCC